ACAGTACAACGGAACCACAAATTGCGGATACACCTTTGTTACCTTCAGACAACTTTGAGCTGTTTTCAGGTCTTCTTAAACAACCTACCTTTGTGAGCAGAACTGATAAAGCTACTGCAGAGCTGTGGCGATATGAAAATATTGAGGTATATTTTCATACGGACTTCGAGATATTTAATTGGTGGGAGGTACACAAATGCAAAATGCCGCTGCTGCATTAATTCAGTCGCAGAGTAATAGCCACTCCTTGAACTAGCGCATCGTCAGAAAGTTTGTTTTCTTCTGCTGGAAATGTTATTTCTGACAAAATATGCCACCTTTTGTCAAATGATGTTGCCCTTAATCAGTTGATATTTTTGCATTATAATATGCAATTAGAAAACCTATAAAATGAACCAAAATTGTATTTACAAATTGTTTTTATACCCGAACGCACTTGTGCACAAGGGTATATTAATTTTGTTCACATAACGGGTGTTTGTAACAGCCAAAACGAATCGAGATAGATATAGACAAATGTATACATATATGCTCAGAATGAATAGAGAAATCGATTAAGCCATGTCTGTCTGTCCGTCCGTCCGTGTACACGATAACTCGAGCAAAAATTGAGATATCTCAACGAAATTTGGTATGTAGGTTTCTGTTAATCCAAGGTAGGTTGGTATTGAAAATGGGCGAAATCGGACAGTAACCACGCCCACTTCCCATATAACGGTAATTTCCAGAAATACGAAAACTGCGATATTTTAGTAACTACTGAAGATAATTCACTCAAAATTGATATTTACAACAATTTTTAGACGAAAAATAAGAATATTATAAATTTTTGGAAAATGGGCATAGCCACGCCCACTTATGGTTACATGTGTATATCTTGGTAACCGCTGCACCAATTTCTTCCAACCTTGGCACAGTTGTTGGCCTTGATACAGCATACTAAATGGCCGAAAATTTTCAAAATAGGACAATAACTACGCCCACATCCCATATAACGGTAATTTTCGGAAATACGAAAACTACGATATTTTAGTAACTACTGAAGGTTATTCACTCAAAATTGATATTTACAAAAAATTTTAGACGAAAAATAAGAATACATTTTTGAAAAATGGGCGTAGCTAATTTATTCAAAATTGATGCTTGCAACAATTCTTTACCATGATATACGTTTATGGTAAAATTTTGGAAAATGGGCGTGGCACCGCCCACTTATGATCACATACATATATGTATCTCGGTAACCGTTCTACTAATTTGTACCAAACTCGGTGTGGTTATTGTTTTTGCCACATATAAGCAAAACGTTGAAAATGATTGAAATCGGACTAAAATTACGGCCGCTTTTTATATAACGGTAAATTTGAGAAATGCTTGAAACTTCAATAATTCGAAATTTAAGGACGCTAATTTACTCAAAATTTATACACCCCGACTTACCATCTAGCGGTAGCTTTCGGAAAGGTGAAAAAACGCATTTGCGTGCATTACTTACATATATATATGTACATATGTATGTATGCTGTATGCATAACAAAATGCATAACTAAAACAAACGAAGTTTATCGCGATAAGCTTTTGTGAGTGTTCACGAATGGATTATTTGCATCGTTTTTCTCATTTGAGAGGCCGGCATCGGCAATGCTCGGACTTCTCATATTCGAGTGAGAGGAAATTTTTTTGCTTTTTTCGATCGCGAACAAATAAATAAATAAATAAAAGCAGCGGAAATTTTTTTGTCGATCGCATTCCGAATGTGAGATGATAAATTTGTTTGCATTTTTCACTCGCGATAAAATAATGCAAAAATTGATTTGGAATATTATCGATCGCGAAAAATCTCATAAATGAATGAAAACGAATAATCATAAATTAGAATTTCCGAACACTGATCTTAAGCGAAAATTAGTTTTTCGAAAAATTTTTGGAAACTGGGCATGACCGGCCCACTTATGTAAAATATTTGTATCTCGCAAATCACTTCACCAATCTGTACCAATATTTGATATACACATTCTCCCTGGCCTTCTTAAAAACTGTCTTGAAAATTTTTGAAATCGGACAATCGCTAACATCGCTAACATTGAGTTTTCAAAAAGTATCGTTTTTTTTTTTACTTACTCTTTAAGCATTTGAGAAAAATGGATCACACAATAATTTAATGTTTCCTCAATGGATTTCAAACCATTTGATGTATAATTTGTTTTTATGCGTTCAATTTAAAAATTTACGTTTTTTAACGTTGAATCGCACGGCCTCTATAGGCCTGTTTGCGTACGCACTATCCAGAAAAATCCAGTAATAACTTTACTGGTTTTTACTGGATCGCGTTTTCATACGCAAAAACTTGCAAGAAACTAGCAAAAGAGGGAAAATTGAGAGAGCAAAAATGACAGCTGAACTTACCAAGTCTTACTAGATTTTTACTGGATAAATTTTTACTAGTAACTATTTGCCAGTAAGAAAAACAGCCAGTATGATTAACAAAATAATTGTTTGTGGTGCTTTTAGAGTTGCAATTGACAAAATAAACTTATTTAAATATATGTATAATAAGATGGGAAATACGATTTCTCTTAGAAAATTGCGTCGGAAAATAACAAATTAATCAGCTGCTCATAAAACTTGCAACTTATTGCTGGTTTTGCGTTGTCGTACTTTCTTGCATATGTCTCTCATTGGCTTACTCTCCGAAATTTAGTTACTGGCAAGTTACTGGATATTTTTTGCTGGAGAATACGAAAACACAACTTATTAGTTTGTTCCAGTATTCTTCGGGCAAAAACCTGTGGAACTGTCAAACTATTGTAGTTTATTCCCTCAAGTGAGAGGAACAGGAGAACAGATGTACGGGAACAAAAAAGCACATTTTTCTGCACAAACGTCAGTCGGTTTGCTAACATGTCATTGGTATAACTCTGATTTGGCTAAGAGATTAGTAAATAATTATTAAAATCTATACAATTGAGAATGATTGCGTATATGTTCAAATATTTCGTTGTTTACTTCTGACTGGAAAGAATTGCTCTTTTACTCTCTCAAAAGTGTTCCTAGTGAGAGAAATTCTTGCGTACGGGAACGACTTCTTGTAATTTTATACAATGCCCTGGAACTATAACTATACTGGAACAAGCTATATATACCCTGCAAACCAAAGTTCCCGAATTCTTAATGAAATCGTTAGGAGTATCTCATTCCTGTAACGATTTTTTTACGAATTTTCAAAGAAAATTATATGAAGTGCTTGACACGAACTCGTAAATAAATTTCTGTACGAAAAATAAAGAAAATTCTCGAAATATTCTGAAAGATATTCTTCACATAGCACCATTATTTTAGTTACTTCGCAGATTTTCTTCCGAAATTTCGTAAAAGAATGGAAGTGTGCGTAATTTATTTCATTTTAGAAAATTCGGCAAAGAATCGAATTAAATCTTGACGAATTCTTTAAAATTTCTTTACAATGCAGAATACTCTGAAAAAATGGTTTGCAGGGTAATACATACATATCTCTGTTCATATACATACATACATACATATCGTCGCCTGCGTAAAAGATTGTCGTATGTTAATTTCGGCAGGCTGCGGAAAATCGCGATTGAAGATTGGAGTGCAATTTCTCAAAAACGCGAAGATAGATTTTCTCCAAAGTCTCTAAATTTTTTTTTTAGTAAAACTTTGTCGTAAGCGTCATTTGACCACAATTTGGCAGCCACTTTGTATGAAATACGACAAAATGTGATCAAAATTTCTACTAAATTAACGACACTTTTTAATCAATATCTCGGAAACTAAAGGAGGTATCCAAAAATGGAGACGCCGTTTTTAAGATATTGATTAGTTTAATCTGGCTACATCACTAACTAAATTTTTACTAAATTATCGAAAAATTGTAGTCAATATCTCGACAACTAAATTATATATCTAAAAACTGATAACACAAATCGAAATACTTATTTCAAAATATATAACTGCATCTAGAACTAAAAATCGTTAAAACTGCGCTTACGACAATCTTTTACACAGGCGACGATATGTTGAACGAAAAACCTAAACGAAATTTCTCCATAGTCTCTCGTTGACTCTTATTTATTAAACGACTTCAAAAAAATTTGGGAGGTTATCAATTCATCGGATTTTTTTTGTGTGTTACCAGATAACTTTGGACCACGTGAACAATTTTCGATTAGTCTTTTTTTTTTAAGAAGTGTAGTTCCTCGCGGGGGGTCTGTTACTAATTCCGTTTAACTCCGATCATTGTGTGATTTTTTACGAGCATTGAAGTCGGTTATAGTTTTTGCTTAAAAATTACTTGTATGTAATTTTCCCAAATCGCTAATCTCATCGGCTCATCCTTTAGGGTACGTTTTATTTAAAGTGGAATTTAATCACGCAACCTGCAAACAGTGCAATCTTTGAATGCGGCACCAAAATTAGCTTCCTACTGGTTTTATGGTTTTATCAGATGAAAAACTATTTTCTATGTTCTGATTGCAAAAACGATGTGATATTTTTTAAAAGAACGAACAAATGCACTCAGTTTGGCGTATCAACTTGAAAATGTTTTACTACTACTGATGTCGATGCTGCTCCCTACTAATTGTTGCACTAAGAAAATAATATAGCATTACTGAAAATTGTGGTTTTATGTCACATGTGCAATGTATGCGTGTTTGTGCATTTAAAATACATACACATTTCATTTTATCATAGAAGTACGTATATTTACTAAATGAATTACATGTTAACTAATTTATAAAAACCATTAATTTTTTGTTTTATATTTTTTTTACCTAACTTTGCTGTTGCTTTTCTGGCTTTTGTAAAAAACTCGGTTTCTCGCCTCTTCCGGTAAGCTTGCGTTTCATAAACATTCACACACCTCTCGTGTTTACATTAAATGCAACTGCCTTTTTTACTTCACTGGTTTTATGAAAGCCAAACTTGAAATTCTTTTCTCCAATAGAGTTAGTCTTAGATTAGGAAATTATTCATACGTATATGCATAGAAATATATTGGTTTATTATAGTTACATGTCGTCATACATTAACAGTTCTTACTTGCTTATTATTAACTTTAGTTTTATTTACTAGTTATATACATTGTGTATTTAGTTCAGCATTCGTAGCATTTCATTTCGCATTCTCATAATATAATGCTCATTGTCCTTAACTACATAAGTAAAAAATTATAATTTGGTAAGACTACACTTAAACGTAATCGACTTACACGAGTATCCCACGGACTAAATAATTTATAATTAATTGTTAATTCGACTTTTCTCAATAATTTGCATAATTCTACTACATGTATATTAGTCGTCTTAAAAGTATGCAATTGTTACGCCTTACTTCGAGACGTTTCTATGGTGGCGCTGCGGCCAGCCGCCTCTCAATTGTAATAAAATTCTACTTTGCGCATATGCTTTGTTAGATTTGTTCTTTATCTGAATATAACTATATATGTGTATATTTTTATTTCGGTTTATTCTACCTGCCTTTTAGCTTATATCTAATTATATTTACAAAAAAGTTTAAGTTACATTGTATATATACCAATAATGCTTACCCATTATTGAAATCTTGAGTGACATTGCTTTTCCATTCTATTTATTATAATTCTTTAACCTACAATCTTGTGTGAAATATAAGGCAATTTATGTTTTTGCGTCAAAACAGTAAAGTAGCAGAATGTAGATGAATTTTGCAGCTAAGAGACATTTCCCAAAATTCATTCATTGTTGTTCACACAAATGGAAAGGACGAACCACGGTTTTACACACTTTAAAATTATTAAATTAAATAACAACTTTTCACATTGATCAAATTGCATGCTCATCTTGTAGGCTCGTCGTATACTCACACATTGCATTAGTCAAATCTTTACCCCGGTCATAGCGCAATTGAGTTTTTTTTTTAATTTTCTAGAAACCAGTAATCACTGCACATACCGACAAACACAAAAACTCTAAGGTAAGGTAACAATGCTTGCTTACACTTAAACATTGTTGTTGTTGTTGCTAGTAATTGGTTGCCATAATTAACACGAAGAAAATTCCAAAAATGACCTTTTTTATATGGAGTTACTTAAAATTGTTATCCATACTGGCTAACATTTGTGCCATGTGCGAGTACCGGAAGTTTTGCAAACGGAATTACACGAATGCTTGTGTCTTTTTCTCGATACTAAACGCTTGAAAAAGTTTTAATTTCCGTCTGTGCATATTGGATTTGCCCTTTTTTATTTATTTAAGAAAGTGTTTAATTATAGTTCTCATTCCCGACTTTATATCACAAAAGCACAAGCTTTCAAACTTTACAATAAATAGTAAAACACACAAACGTAGATTTAAAATAAAAGCGATTGCAACGACCTAATAATTCTTTGAATACTCTTCAACAATTTAAACTAAGAGAATACCTAAAATTGCAACAATCAAACCATCGAATTTCCACTATCAACTTTCAATACAATTATCGTAAAAAATACTGCACATTATTCACATTTTGCCGCCCATCTTAGCTAACTCTTAATGCTTACTATTATGGTAAATACACAATTGACGACGCTTATATACAATATTCTCTATTCACTCTTCGCTTTTACATAATCGCTGCAGTCAGATAGTAAAGATCCATAAGCATTTGAACATTAATCGGCAGGCATGAGAGACGGTCGTGTGTATTCGAGTCCAATGCAAGCCAGGACAAAGCATTGTAACCTTCCAATACAAAACGCAGTACATCGGCAGTGAGGGATGAATCCAATGGGTGATCTGTGGCTGACGAATGCGCATTTGTCGAGTTAAGTATATCATCGGTGGTCTGTATGTTCGGCACGTGGAGATGCAGTGCTGTTTTCAAAAATACTGGACATACATCTTCCAGGTGCGGGCAGGCTGACCAAAACCACGAGGGCATGCGTCCGGTTGGAGCCGTGGAAACCATGTAGCCGACAGCAAGGGGTTGCTGATTTATAGAGCCCACCTATAAAAAGTGAATAATTTACAATAAGCATATTTAGAAAATACCGGTAAATTAATTCGCGTTGTAAATTTACCTCCTCCACATCCTGTTGCTGCGCAGAATTAAAATTGTTACCACCGGCACTCTGCCAGCTTCGGTTATCCTCCAAGCGATCGGGACTGCAGTGGTTCGACATACGTCCGGGTTGAGCTAAAAATAATATATATATATAAAATTAAATTCATATTGATCCTTATGAAAAAAACTAAGCAATTGATTTTTTCTAAAATTTCAGACCCTTTACTCGATTTATACAAATTTAAGTAAAAGGTCTGAAATTTAGAAAAAGCCATTGGCTATTTTTTATTCATTCTCAAAGAAACAGGAATGTAAGTACTCACGGTCCCAGTCAAGTAGATCGCCCATCAGATCGGCGTCGGTAAATCCTTCGTTTTCGTCCTCTTCATCAAAGTTGAGAAAATCATTTTCCAAATCTACTTGCGGCTCATTTTGAAATTGACGGGTAAATGACTGCAAAAATATATTAAATTGAAATAAAATAAAACATAATCAGCCTAATCGTTAATTCCATGTGAATAAATCGCTGTTAAATTAACAGACAAGACAAAAAAAGATGGAACAAATAGCTTTTGTTTTGCTTTATAATTTTTGGGAATATTTGTTTACATGGAATTCGCGATCAGGCCAAATATTAATACAATGTTCAATCAGGGGTTTATGTAGCAATTAGCTAATTTTTCCCGGTTAATACGTTAATTGAATTTGATCTTTTTTTTACTAAAACATTTGTTTTATTTTAGATAATTTATAATAATATTATCAAGAATTAGTTTCATTCATGGTGCACTGTTTGCATTATGATTATTTTAATCCAATTCAGCACTGAACTTGAAAATAAGAAAAAGTTAGCCTTCCTTGACCTGAAAATTCATAAAGTAAACAATAAAATTGTAACGAATTGGTATGAAAAAGCAATAGCATCTTCCAGAATGATAAATTATCATTCTAAGCATCCCTGGGCATAAAAGAAAAACACAGCTATCAACCTTATAAACAAGATCTGCGCGTTGACCGACCAGGCGTTCAGAAAAGATAACAGAAAAATTAAAAACATTTGCTAAGGAACGGGTACCCAAACAAAACTATAGACAGACTGATAGCAACAACAAAATGCAGACAAAAATCATCTGAAACGAACACCGAACCCGCAAACAAATGAAAACAAACTATTTAAAGGAGTCACATATGTAAAAAGACTAACGGATACAAAAACACTACATAAAAATATGCCAAAATAACAATATAACATTCGCACATAAGCCGCATAGCACGCTCAACAAAATATTTAGCAAAACAAAAGACGAAATCAGCAAAGAACAACATCATGTAGTTTATCAAATCAATTGTAATGGCAAAGCGGGGGAACCTTGCGATAAATTATACATAGGCACAACAAAGCGCGGCCTTGGAGTCAGAATAGGCGAACATAAAGCAGACTTAAGAAACAAAAAATCAACTACAGCGCTAGCCCAATACTAGACAAACAGCAGACATTCGGCTGATTTCGACAACACCAAAATATTAGATATAGAGAAGAGAGTGCGAACAAGACTAACATTAGAAGGCCTGCATATACAAGTACAAATAAATACAAGACGCATAGAATTTCAAAGAAGATGTCGATAGCATAAATTGCGCATACAGGACAGCAATAACGTGCAATAGGAAAACAGATGGACGGCGATGCAGAAGTGATTGCTAGTGAAGCGATTATTGTGATGTTTTGTTTATTTTGTTCTTATTAATTTAAATGTAAGTGCTGTGGTTTTTATATATGTATATATGTAGTTTGTTAACTATATTATATGTATGTATGTACACATAAAGGGTGAACACACCAAAACTGCGACACTTTGGGAAGCTTATAACTTACCTAAAACGAATTCAATATTTTGAAATTCAAATACCATAAGTTGACCATGACCTTAGTTGAACGTAGAAGAAATTTCATTTGAATTTGATTCCTAGTTGAGTTAAAATTGGCAACCGAGCTAGAAACGAGACAAACCATTTTGCACGAGTCTATAAATGATCCGGCCTTAAGTACACGTAAAATTGCTAAAAAATTAAAGAGTGCACTATTCGACAGTTTGCAGGGTTTTAATCGGTACAAATAAGGCCTGACAGTTACGAGAAAACCAGGGAGCGGGGGTTAGCATGGTCAAAGTGATAAAAACAGGTCCTCAGTACGTTTTCACGAGATCCGAAGATTTTGTCGCGTTATGTTGCAAAATCCGTACGGAGATCGCAGTTTTTCGTACAAAAGGTAAAGCGGAAAGCTTCATTGAGATGTTCTACAGCTCAAACAGCGCCAGACCGAGGCGCAAAGTAGAATGTTACAGCGAAATCCCGCATTCGGAAGTTGTATAAATTCTAAATTAAAAAATACAACTGCATTGTTATGGACTGCGAAACCTACTGCTATAAAAACTGCTGCAAGTCGTCAAGATGCCCCTGAAAGTTGTAAGCTGAAAATGAAGTCCAAATTTCCAAAAACCACATGGTTTGGCAAGCTATTTGTTCCTGCGGCCGTAAGAGCAGCCCTTTTTTCCCATCCGGGACAATGAATGATCAAGTTTATCGGGATGAGTGCCTCAAAAGGCGTCTTCTGTCATTTATTAACAGATAAGGAGTAGGCCATCGTTCTAGGCGGACATGGCAACCTGCCACTATGCCAAGGACACATTGCCGTGGTATAATGCAAATAACATCAATTTTGTACCTCACGACTGCAATCCACCCAATAGCCCAGAGCCACGTCCTATTGGGGAATATTGGTCAATTGTCAAAGGAATCTTGAAGAAAACAGGTGAAAGAGTGAAAATTATTGAAGAGTGCAAAACAAAGTAGTTGTGCGCATCGCGTAATGTCGATGATGCAGTCGTGCAGAACATGATGGCGCGTGTGCGATGAAAATACCGATCACTTGCATATGGAGCAAATAATAACTAATATTTTAACATTTTAATAACATCTAAACTTCCAAGTTATATAATACACAAAAAATAATTTCAAAGCCTTCTAGTTTGTTTCTGGTAGTAATTTCTAAGTGTCGCAGTTTTGGTGTGTTCACCCTTTATTATTAATTGTGTTTTTAAGCCCAATTGCTTGTGTTTTTATGCTGTGCTTCGAATAAACAGACTCCCTGATGAAGGCGGAAAAGACGCCGAAACGCGTAGGAGGATAAAAGAAAACTTTGTTTTGCTTTTTATTTAACCGGACTAAAGCTCCAAAAATAAACTTATATAATTATTTTACTTTTTTGATTCATAAAGTCACCTAGACCTTCAATCTCATCAACTTTCATCCAAATCCTGAGAGGTCGCGCACAGCGGTGGCCGCGGTGGCATGAAATGCCTCAGCTCCTAAATTTTTTGAACTCTTCACTCTAGATTCTAGAAGTAAGAGCTATGTATTAGATTTCCAGGCATTTAGTTAATGAGCTTTGAATTGTCCTCTGACCATTCGCCCGTACCTATACTAGGTTTACATATACATAAGTAGATTATCCTCATTTTCGAGCTGAACTCCCTAATCTGTAATTAGAAATAGAGGTTAGCCATACAAAATTCGCCCCCGTTAATCTGTAATTATAAAGTAATCTCAGATTAAACGGATAACTTTTCGGTGTCCAACCTAGTTTTATCGATTATTCTTGAGAAGAGGAGAAATGCAAGGAAAATATGTTTGTTAAGGTACTTTTAATAAAATATTAAGTTTAAATATATTTAAATTGGTTAATATTACAGAAAAAGTGATCATGGTGGCACAAAGAAAAAAAACTTTCATTGAGATGTGAGAATAACAAGCACAACAAATTTGATGGCTGTTAATCTCAGATTTGCCTGTGTAAATGGGGTGATTAAAACGAGCTCTGATTGAAATTATATTTATATGTAAACACACTTTAAGGGATGAATTGATACCGTGCAGGTATCGATACTTTTAATTGGAAGTAGAAAGAAAGTAACAAATATTTCTGAGCAAAAGTCCTTCTTTGTAGTGCTTCCGAGGAGTAGAAGTTTTTCCAAAGATTTCACTGCAGTGGAAATGTAATGGATATTATGTAGAAAAATTAAGAGCCAAAGAAGTTTCCTTATTACTTCACCTTGTAAAATTCCAAATAAAACTGTAAGTGTGAAGGGTATAGACACAAAATGATACGGATGAAATTTTACTAAAGGAAATTCTTAAAAATATTTAAAATATGAAAGATTTTCTAGTACCTAGATACCGCGAACTAGAATAATTTTTCTATTTGACATCTACTTTTCTCAAGACTAAAATTCTGGAATATTTCAGTTAGTTCCAAAAATATTTTTAATCAACTCTTTGTAGCCTACTCTTTTTCTTCTTAGTAAAGTTTTTTTAGTAATTGGTGGAGCAATTGGAGCGTGTATTCTTTGCACTATATCAACTTTGTCGCATTATCGCGGTTTTCGCTGGCAATAAAGCAGCCATAAAGAACAAGGCGCTTCATATTCGGAATAACAGTGGAGGAAAAATTGACGAAGCCAAATCTACCTACTCAGTACTTGGTTAAAAAGTATCGATACCAAAAAGTATCGACCGAAAAGTATCGAGTACGTACCTGTATTTACTCGTATCGTTTCATCCATACTCGTACTTGTTTCACTCGATAACAATTTTCTCAACAAATCCGCACATTGTCAGCTACATAAGCGCAAAAGATTGGAACACTTTTCGAAGCATAGTTTCTTCTACTCTTGACTTGAAAGTACTAGCTCTTAAACTAATGAGGGTATAACTGAAGCAGTTGAACACTTTAACAACTGTCTGCAACAAACTGGAACTCGACCGCACCCCTACACAACGAAATTCTTACCCCAATTGTGGTAGTACACTCGTAATCCACAAGACTCAAGAAAAGGGTAAATAAACTCACTCAAGAACTTAAAGAGATTTTAGGCAACGAGCGTAACGCTCAAATTACACGAACATCCATTAAAAAGCTAAAACCCAAAAATGCGCCTGGCTACGACGTAATGGTTGGCCAATTAAAACAATTACCCCCCGACAGGCATCAAGTTTCTGATATACTTGTTATGTACATCGGTTTTATACCTCCTCAATGGAAAGTCACACAAGTTAAAATGACCTATTAGCTTACTACCCTTGGTCTCCAAACTCCTGGAAGTGCTTTTTCTTAAAAGATTACTTCCACTTATCGAGAAGACGAAGCTTATTCCGAATCACCAATTTAGATTTAGAAGAGGGCACAGCACAACGAACATAGGCTTGTCGATAAAATTCAGTCAGCATTTGACCAAAATAAATACTGCACTGCTGCTTGCGTTTGGCGCGATGGGCTACTTCACTTGCTGTCTCCACAGGCAAACGTTTTCATCTTGGTAATGTTATCAGGCAAAATTTTGCCAATGGAGACCGCATATTACTCTTGGCAAGCAATAATTATCAAGACTTTCACA